TTTTTTATCTTTTGTGTTTTTATTCATGTTTTGATTTGAATATTTTATCTTCATATATTTCCATTTAAATTTGATTCATAACTTTGTCATAATATATTATTTAAATAAAATTTTAGAGGATGTTGCTCATGTGTTGTTCATGTTGACTAAGTTATAAGCAGTAAATATGTATACAAATCAGACTTTATTACTTATTATATTTTGAATGTAAAGTTACTTGTGTAGTATTTTATTTTGTCAATTTTCCAACCAGACGCAACCAAGATATTAATCTTTGTAAATTTAAATAATATGTTTGATTTAGAAACTTGTATAACCTATTAAAACTTTATATGTTTATTCATAGTCAACACCAATATTTAGAAATCATCAATATTTTTGGAACTATATTTCAAACTAATTCTCTTCTTAGATCTTGTTTTTTGTTATTTTAAATATCTTCGATGATAATTTTATATTTTATTTTAATTATCTAATTTTCTGCAGGTTTGATACACTTAAAACATATATATTTTTAATTAATCTCTTCTGTTATTGATTTTTCAAATAGGTAGCATATATATTAATTTAATATCTTTTACATAAATACTTTTTCTTTGTTAAATTTAGTTTTTAGATTAATTAAAATACTATTTTGACATGCTATAACTGGTTATTCTAAATTTTAAGTGAACTTTTCTCAAAAGTGTATACCATCATTTGCTTTTTTTAGTTAATATTTGTTTGGTAGTTAGCATAAATATCAAGCTAATTTTACTTTATACGACTTTTTTCTTTGATAATTTACCTCTCTTGATATTGATGTTTAATTTATTTTAACACACCATTGTTTTTAAAATATTGATATTTTGAAGACATAATTTTTTTGTTTGTTAAATATTTTTATATGAATTTTTGAAGTAGTTAGTCAGATATCAAGTCAATATATTTTGAAGTGTGTTTTTAAAAAATAATATTTTGTAAAACTTAATTTTCATTTTAGTTTTTTAGTTAATTAATTTCTTAATATTGATTTATTAAATAATCAGCTTAAATATTTATATATTTTTGCTAGTTAAGTTTTTAGTATTATTTAAATTTTTTTATTCTCTTACTTATTCTGTTTATATTGATTTTGTTAAATAAATAACATAGATATTAAGTTCATATCCTCTTTTTTTGTTAATTTAACTTTCTCGATATGGACTTGTTGTAAGAAATAATTTATAATTTGGTTTTTGTTGGTTAAACATTTTTTTATTTTGATTTCTTCAGTAATTAGCATAAAGTATCATTTTTGGTTTGTTAAGATTTTTGTGTTAATTTTTTAAATATTTCTCCAAAAATTATAAGTTTTAGATGACTTTCTTTTTTGATAATTTAAAGAGGAATGTTTTTTTGGTAGTATTGATATTTTTAAATAACAATTTTATATTTTTATATGAAAATTTAATCCTAATATTTTTTTTAAATAAATTACTCATTTAAAATATAAATGCTAATTTTTTTTAATTTAAGTTTTTTGTTATTGATTTACATATTTGTTTTTGTTAGTTTAGTTTTTGTGACAATGAGTTTCCATTTTATTTTCACAACAGATTTAGACTTTTGACATAAATTTATTTTATTTAGTTAAAAAAATTATCTTAATTTTTCATTCTATTGTGATAATTTTATATTTTGTATGTTTTAATTTTTTTAAATTACTAATAATATTTTTTATTTTTTTGTTAATGAAAAACGCTAACATAGACTAATCAGATTGAATATATATGTCCTATGTAGACGCTCTCATTTGCCTAAGACATCAACACGGACCACAACTAATATATTTTAAGTTAGCAGTTCAGATTTTAATTGTTTGTCGTGATTAAAATTTTAAAATAATTTAATTATGGTTTTAAATACAGTTTTTAATAAAAAAATTCAATATATATGATTTTTCTTTCATAATCTATTTATATGTTAATTTATCTTTTTAATGTTAATAGCAAAATAAGATCTATTTTCGAAACTCTTTTTTTAATAACTAACTTAAAATTTAGAAACTTTCCTAATAACAACAAAAATAAAATTAATTAAAGTTTAGAATTTTCCTTATAACAATTAAAACGAATTAATTAATTTTAATATATAATATATAATTAACTAAAAATAATGATGATGTGTACCAATAGAATTGAATCTTTAAATCCCATGTGGACACCATTAGAGGCATTTAGCATCAACTTTTATTAGTAACTAGGTTTTTAACTCGCGCTACGCGCGAGTCTGTATTAATGATTTGATTTAATTCTTTTTTTGGTTCATATCTTTTAAATTACAAAAACTATAATATATTTATAGAAATTTTCTTTTATATAAAAAATTTTAAAATATAATCTGTAGGTTTTCCTATTTTTTGCTTAGAAAATTTAAAATCTTATTAAGTCTAATCATAGTAATGACACCTAACGAATTTTCAATTTCGACGTGCATATATTTGATTTAGAAAATGATTTTCTTACTAAACTTTTGGTATTTTGTCTTGTTTCCTTAGGATTTCTATAGTTGTTCTTTTTTAAGATTTATATGTTCAAATATTTAGTTATTGATTAAATATCTCACTGATGTTGTGTAACTATGCATACATAATATATGATTCAGATTTACTTTTGTTAGGATGCTACAATAGTTGTGTAAAGCTTCTTCTGCTTCTCCATCAGATATTCTATGAAGTTTAGGTTATATCTCTATTTAATTTATAAAATCTATTTTATTTGCAGTTAACTATTTGATAATTTTTTAAAAAAAACATGTAAGATAGTGTGGAGTCTTCACATTATTTTTTACTGTTTTTATCTTTTGTGTATTTTATTCATGTTTTAATTTGAATAGTTTATATAGATATATTCTAATTTGAATTCGATTCATAACATTGTCATACATTATTATTTATATAAAATTTTAGAAAGTGTTACTCATATGCTGTTCATGTTGGCTAAATTATAAGTAGTAGCTATGTATAAAAAAATCAGACTTTATTACTTGTTATATTTCGAATGTAGAGTTACTTGTGTTGTATTTTTTTTTTAGTTTTTAAATCAGACGTAGCCAAAGTATTAGTCTTTGTAAATTTAAATAATATATTTGATTTAGAAACTCGTATAACATACTGTAATTTTATATGGTTATTCATAGTGAATACCAATATTTTAGAAATCCTAAATTTTCAGGAACTAAATTTCAAACTAATTTTCTTTTTAGATTTTGTTTGTTTGTTATTTTACATATCTTTTAATAGTAATTTTATTTTTTATTTTAATTTATATAATTTTTTGCATGTTAGATATACTTAAAACATATATATTTTTAATTAAGCTATTTTGTTATTGATTTTCCAAATAGGTAGCAAATATATTAATTTAATCTTCTTTAGATAAGTGTTTTTTTGTTAAATTTTAATTTTAATTATAATATTATTTTGATATGCTATAACTCGATATTCTAAAGGACAATTCTCGGTAATACACCTTTTTTAAGTTTTGTGGACAAAATTAAACACTGTATTAAGAAACTTCCACCCCTAACATATTTAGAAATGAACTACCCATATTGCCCCTAATTAATATTCTAAGAAATCTAAGAGATCTCGACCGCCGTAGAAGACAACGGCGGCGAAGCCGCCGTAGAAGACGAACCCTAGATCTCGACCGCCGTAGAAGACAAAACCTAGATCTCGACCACCGTAGAAGACGAACCCTATATCTCAACTGCCGTAGAAGAAGAACCCTAGATCTCGACCGCCGTAGAAGAACAAAAATCTAATTTCCAATTATTTCGGTTCGATAACCACGGATTGAAACCGTGCAACAAACGGCGGCAATTGAAAATGTTTATGATTGAATTGAAATGTTTGTGAGTGAATTGGAATGTTTATGAGTGAATTGACAATTTTATGAATTGAAATGGAAGAAGAATATCGTCGAGAAAAATTTACAACTGTTTTCAGAATCTTTCCAATTATTTCGGAAGTGCTTCCTAAATATTAAAAAAAACAAATAAGACGAAAAAAAGGAATTCGTGGTTATCGAACCGATGACCGACTACTTCGTAGTAAAGCTCTAACCGCTATGGCTGAATTATTTCGTTGGATAACTGTAAGTAACTTCTTCTTTATTTATAAATGATTTAGGAATCATTCCCAATTGTTTCGGAAATGCTTACGAAGTATTAAAAAAAAAACAAATAAGACGGAAAAGGAATCCCTGGTTATCGAACCAATGACCTCATCTACTCCGTAGTAAAGCTCTAACCGCCATGGCCGAATTGTTTCGTTGGATAACTATAAGTAACTTCTTCTTTATGCAAATAAATACAAGCGAAAATCGTGTTGAGCAGTTTTAAAGTTGAGAAAACTGCTCAACACGATTCAGTTTTTGCCATTTCGCTCCCGACCGTTCGGTTTCCAAGAGAATTGAAGACGAAGCCCTAAAATCTAATTTCTTTCCGGAACTACTGTTAACGGCAAAGAAGACATCGACGACAGAGAAAAGACGATAGAGAAGGTGACAACTAAGACTCAGTAAGAAACTCCTGTCCCAAAACTTATATCATCTCGATTTTTTGAGAATTTTAGGATAGGCTTTAGTTTCAACTTCAATTTCAACTTATCGAGGGGTTGGTTTGTAGATTTGTGTGGTATAAACTTCAATTTCAACTTATGAAGGATCGTCCTGAGATTCATATTTCAAAAAACAATACTGTTGGTTTATGGCTCTTCTTTGTAATTTTAGGATTTGGATTTAGGAAACGCCTTCCAAAAAGTTATTTTTGCTTTTATGATCGATATTTAGGAGCACCTTCTAAGTGTTATTTGTCAACTCTCAAAAAAATGTGTTGTCCATTTTTGGTTAGTTTATAGATTAGTGTAGAAGGGACTTTCAATTTCCACTTATGAAGGGTCGTCCTAAAGATTCAAATTGTGACATTTTTTGTTTCTGTTGTGACATTCTTCGTCTCCTTTCTTGTAACAGTTTAAAATGGACATCACACTTCATAAGCTCAAATACGCGATGGGGAAGGAACCTGTGAATGGATTCAAGGCGATAGACAAGTACTCGGACTTCAAGTACATTGCCAAGGTGAAGGAGATACTTGGGCTTGAGCAGTTTAAGAGAATCGAGGACTCTTTCTTGGGTCCGGTTTTGCAGTTCTGTTCGAGGGATCTATCTATGTCAGGAAAGATGAACCACACAATTCTGACCAAGACCCTGAAAACCAAGAAAGAAAAGGAGCAGTGGTTTCATTTTGGTGGACATCCTATGAGGTTCTCTATAAGAGAATTCCATATGATCACGGGGCTGAAATGCACCGAATGGTTGCCTGCTGATGAGGAAGAGGCAAACCACTATGATTGGTCTCGATTGGAGAATGGACATTCACCCTACGACCTGATAGAACTCATGGTCGAAGCCGGAGAGGATGCTCATGATGAGAGGTTTTCTTTGGCTATGGTGCTGCTCATAGAGACAATTTTTCTTCATAGGTATTCGAAGGCTATGTTCCCAACATCCAATCTACAAAAAGCGCAACACATAGATGTATTGCTGAATCATCACTGGGGGATAGATGCTTACGAAATGCTGCTAAAATCAGTGAAGAAGACTGTAGAGAAGAATCTAGAAAAGTCCAAGTACCCTCTGGACGGGTTCCCTTATGCGCTTCACCTATGAATCTTGGAATCCGTACCCAAGCTTCAGTCGCCTTTCTCTACCATTGACAAAACAGTCCCGCCCACAGCTTTTTGTGTGTGAAATACCTTCACACAACATGTCCTCCCATCAAAACTGATATGAGCATAGAAGGAGAAAGCAATGTAAGCGCCATCCTTTACTACTCTGATTATATAGGATGGTGTTTCGCAGTGTTCGAAATATGTGTCATTAGTTTAGGAAGGCTTTCCTAATTAACCATCGCTGAATGATGTGTGTGTGTTTTTTGACTGTGCAGATGGATGGCGTACACATCCTTCCAAAAATACATGGTGACCTCGAAGACACCGTGTTTTTGCAAGACAAACACGATGAACATCTGCAGTCGCTTGTGGATCTGTTGGAGAAGGGTTTCAGGCTGATACATGATCACTCGAAAAGAAAGATTGTGAAGAGAGACGATGCATTGCAATACATTGCATCGCAGTCATATCGCTATCCCCATTTAGAAAGAGCGAGACAAGACTCCAGACCACCTTCTTCAGACGAGTCAGTAGAGGCGAAGCTTGACCAGCTCAAGAAGATATTCATAGATGAACAGAGACATATCCGTTCTCGGTTATCAAAAATCAAGCAAAAGCTTGGCATGTATGATCCTTCAGATTCCATTGATGAGGTATTGATTGATAAAAATATATATGTTTGTTAGAGATAGTTCTTTAATAAATTTTCTAACATCACGCTGTTATCTGTTTTTTCCTTGAAGGAGGATATATCTGATCACGTCTCGCCTCCTGTGCACCATGGAACTGGTGTAAACCCAATGGAGGTAGGACCTTCAAGAACGAATACTGTCAATGGAAGTGGTGTGGTTGAAACAACCAAAGAAAATGATAAGGTACTTAAACAATTTTTGCCATCTACATTTGCTAAAACATTTCGGGACTAATATGCTGTCATCTATTGTTTTGCAGATGAACGATGATGAGACAACAGAGAGTAGCAAAGAACAGGAGGAAGCCCAAACACAGATGGAAAAGGATGAGAGCACCCAACCAATGGAGGAGCAACAAACTGTTAGCTATACTTGTTTATTTTAGATTTCATTACTTTAGTAAGGTCTTCCTGAAATTTTTTTAAAGGTTCCTAACAAAAAATCATGCACTTCCAGGTACAAAACCCGCCTGTGATATCGACATCCATGGAGACAGTTGGAGGCAATGAACCCGCGGAGATGGACAATGATGATGGGAGCCAAGAAAATAATGAAACAACAGTAAGAAAATCAGGATTCTTTTGCGTTTTGGTATTTTAGTAAGGTCTTCCAGAATTTCTGTTAGACCTTCCTAACCCAGAAAATATTGTCCTAGCAGGTACAAACCCCGCCCGTGGTTGCATCCACGGAGACGGTTGCAGACGTGGGACAGACAGAAACTGACAATGATGATGGGAGCCAAGAAAAAAATGAAACTACAGTAAGAAAATCAGGATTCTTTGCATTTTGTATTTTAGTAAGGTCTTCCTGAACATTTGTCAGACCTTCCTAAACCAAAAAATGTTGGGCTTCCAGGTACAAACCCCACCCGTGGTTACATCCACGAAGCCGGTTGCAGGCGATGAACCCACAGAAGTTGACAATGATGATGGGAGCCAAGAAAAGATGAAACTACGGTAAGAAAATCAAGATTCTTTTGCTTTTTGGTATTTTAGTAATGTCTTCCTGAACATCTGTCAAACCTTCCTAACCCAAAAAATGTTGTGTTTCCAGGTACAAACCCCGCCGGTGGTTGCATCGACGGAGACGATTGCAGGCGAGGGACAAACAGAAGTTGAAAATGATGATGGGAGCTAGGAAAAAAATGAAACTACAGTAAGAAAATCAGCATTCTTTTGCGTTTTGGTATTTTAGTATGGTCTTCCTGAACATTTGTTAAACGTTCCTAACACAAAATTTTGGACGTCCAGGTGGTTTCGGCACTTGTCGGTCCTAGCGTTGCTCCTATAAAGGGAATTAGAGGTACGAGACCTAAAACATACTTGACGGAAGGTTCTTTAGTCGAAGTATCGGGTGAAGATAACAGGTGGTTCCCTGCTTCGGTTATAAATAGACAGCCAGGTCTAGGTCCTATCCGCAGCTATTATTTGAGGTGCTTGAGCATTGATAAGAATGAGAATGTCCAAGAGATGCGGATCGTCCTACACCGCCTCAGCTGCTTTATGAAGAACATGTCGCCAACGTTTTAGAGGCTGGGCAAGTCGTTGAGGTTTACCACAATGAGCACTGGTGCAGAGGGTGTGTGGAAGCGCCTACCGAGGGTACAAAGGTTTCTATCCACCTATATGATAACGACAAAACACAACTGGTAGACGTTATGGATACGAGAATTTTTAGACAATGGGTGGACGAGGCGTGGGATCCTCCTGTGGATGTGGCTATCCAGGTACATCGTTTTTACTGTGATAAAACCCTGTATTCTTTAAAACAATACAAAAAGTTTAACTAAGTTATCTGAATGTTGCAGGAAGACGCAGTGACGTCTGCTTCGCCCACCACAGTAGAAGACATTGCGAAGGTAAAATTACTTTCCTAAAATTATTTTTGTGTTTACAACTAGTGAAAAACATTCACATGCCCCGTTTTTACGAAAGCTTGTCTTCTTATCAAAGGTTAAACCAGAGAAGGAAAAAGTGGAGAAGGCAAAATCCAAGGAGAAGAAAGTGGAGAAGGCGAAATCCAAGGAGGAGAAGGGGAAGAAGGTGAAATCCAAGAAAAAGAAAGCGAAGAAAGAGCAGAATGAAGAGCTAGAGAAAACATCTCTAAGAAGGAGCAGACGGTTCAAACAAACGGATATGTGATATGCATATTCGGAACAAAAACAAATAGAATGAATTCTGTTGGTGGTGTTAGTTGCCATTTGTTAAAATGGTTAATGGTTTTAACGGTGTTTTTAGATGTGTTGTTTGTAAACATGGATTTGAATACATGATATTTATCTTTGCTTTTTAAACAATGTTGCCTTTGGTTTAGCAAAATCAGTTGTACTTATTTTGGATCTTGTATTTCATTCATTTCAAATTGATTTTCATAACAAAGTAATTTTATGGTTGCTAGGGAAAAAGAAAAAGGTTTAGGAAGCCTTCCTAAATGAACTTAGGTAAAAGTATTTGATTTAAAAAGGCTTCCTAAATGAATATTCGAAAAAAAAAAAGGTTTAGGAAGGCTTCCTTGATGAAACTTGTGAAAAAAAAAATGATTTCGGAAGGCCTCCTTATTAAATCTTGGCAAGAGAAAATGATTCTGGTAGGCTTCCTAAATGAATATTTAAAAATTGTTTTGGTGAAATTAAAAAGTTTTCGACTGTAATCTTAGATTCCAGAAATAATGTTGGGTCCCTTCTCCCCTCGATATTTAGGAAAAAATTGCAACATTTCGGAAAGGATTCCTAAACAGTAAAGCATAAAACAAAAAAGGTATAATTACATTCTACGGTTGTGTCGAACAGGAGACACATTTGTTTAATCGTAGAAGCACTAACCGCTATGGCCGAATCGTTGTAGTTATCCATCATTTCGAAGTTATGTATTTATCTTTTAAAAATATTAACACAATTCTTTACTTTTGGGAACCCTTCCTCATCGGCGATATCGAAGGTGATTTCCAGATAAAAACCTAATTTACAGCGGCGACGGCGATTTACAGTGAAAACCCGGATTTTCAGCGGCGGTGCATCGGTAAAGAAGACATCTCGACAACTAAAGATTCAGTAAGAAACTCATGCCCCGAAAAACTACTCTCATCTCGACCACTCATAAAAATCTATCTCTTCCGATCATGATTTACCACTTTTTGAATGATTTAGGATAGGTTTTAGATTCTATTGTGGGGTTTGTTTATAGATTAGTGTAGAGGGAACCTTCAATTTCCCCTTATGAAGGGTTGTCCTAAAGATTCAAATGTGACATTTTTTGTTTCTGTTGCGGCACTTTTTGTTTCTGTTGTGACATTCTTCGTCTCCTTTCTTGTTGCAGTTGAAAATGGACATCACACTTTCTAAGCTCAAATACGCGATGGGAAAGGAACCTGTGAATGGATTCAAGGTGATAGACAAGTACTTGGACTTCAAGTACATCGCCAAGGTGAAGGAGATACTCGGGCCTGAGCAGTTTAAGAGAATCGAGGACTCTTTCTTGGGTCCGATTTTGCAGTTCTGTTCGAGGGATCTATCTATGTCAGGAAAGATGATCCACACAATTCTGACCAAGACCCTGGAAACCAAGAAAGAGAAGGAGCTGTGGTTTCATTTTGGTGGACATCCTATGAGGTTCTCTATAAGAGAATTCCATATGATCACGGGGCTGAAATAAACCAAATGGTTACCTGCTGTTGAGGAAGAGGCAAACAACTATGATTGGTCTCGATTGGAAGATGGACATTCACCCGACGACCTGATAGAACTCATGGTCGAAGCCGGAGAGGATGCTCATGATGAGAGGTTTTCTTTGGCTATGGTGCTGCTCATAGAGACAATTTTTCTTCATAGGTATTCGAAGGCTATGTTCCCAACATCCAATCTACAAAAAGTGCAACACATGGATGTATTGCTGAACTATCACTGGGGGATAGATGCTTACGAAATGCTTCTAAAATCTGTGAAGAAGACTGTGGAGAAGAGTCTAGAAAAGTCCAAGTACCCTTTGGATGGGTTCCCTTTTGCTCTTCACCTATGGATCTTGGAATCCGTACCCAAGCTTCAGTCAGCTTTTTCTACCATTGACAACACAGTCCCGCCCACAGCTTTTTTGTGTGTGAAATACCTTCAGACAACATCTCCTCCCATCAAATCTGTTCTGAGCATAGAAGGAGAAAGCGATGTAAGCGCCATCCTTTATTACTCTGATTATCTAGGATGGTGTTTTGCAGTGTTCGGAATATGTGTCATTAGTTTAGGAAGGTTTTCCTAACAAACCATCGCTGAATGACGTGTGTGTTTTTTGACTGTGCAGATGGATGTCGTACACAT